ACCATGTTTTAAAATGTAGTTAGTAAACCATTTCTTGAGTATTTGAAATAATACGGTATTGGTTAAAAGCACCTATATGCTTTTGTGGAGGTAAAGAAATCGAGTAAAATATCTAAAGCTGTGTTAAATTTTTGTGTGTAGATAGGTCAATGTTTGAAAACCATCAATAGAAAATCCCTAATGTTCCAGATATACTGACTTGCAAACTGCTTCCTGTGTTTCCCTAAAATTGTATTTCTGTTTTAAACCCCATTTCCAAATGTCAGAAGTTCCAAGCAATGTGGCTAAATGAGTTACTTTAAAGATTCCCTTTCTAAACCTCACCCCTGATGCTTTTCCAATTGATTTTTAAAATTTAATGTTTGGACTATAACAGAACAGCTATTTTTTCCTCTCTTTAAATTAGAGGCGAAGCCAGGCGTGGTGGTACATGCTTGTAATTCCAGCACTTGGGAGGCTAAAGCAGGCGGTTTGTTGCAAGTTCAAGACCAGCCTGGGCTACAAAGTGAGCTCAAGGCCAGTCTGAACTGCACAGTGAGACTCTGCCTCAAAAAGACAAAAATAAAAATAAAAAATCAGAGGCAATACAATATTGCAAACATATTTCATAGAAAACTAATTTATAATCTTGCCACTATAAGATAAATACCTTGACCATGCTTATTACCCTCTAGATGCTGGCCCCATAGATAGGCATTTTGTATCACTCTAATTATCAAGTATATGTTATATATTTTTTTTATTAAAGACCTGCCAAATTTTTATCCAATATCTGGCAGACATCATTTCCAATGCTAAAACTGTCAAAATCCTTCAAAATCCTCCAGGGATCCTTCAGAATGATACTCAGTTAAAAAATAAAATGATACTGGGAATCATACTACCAAATGCTGAGTTACTTAGTTCACAGGAACAGTAAATACGTGGGATTCTGATTAGAACAAATGGATCGTGAGGCATCCACATGCATGATTCAGCTCAGAATTAATTGCCCCCTCTGCATTCCTCTGGGTGCCTCTGGCTGGCACTTCTGAAGACTGGTGTCACACAGCTTCTTGTTTACCTATTTGCGTGTGGTTTGACTGGGCCAGCATCTCCATTATCTTTTGACCTGGCTAATTTCTGAGTATAGTATCTTGCTTATCCTGGACACTTTAGTGAGTGAGAGATGCCTAGAACATCTTTTTCAGTGCCATTGAACTGCTATCTACAGCGGAAACTGAATTGCTTGGGCTGGGGTATAGCTCAGTAGTAGTAGCGATCTTACCTAGTGTCTTAGTTACTTTTTACTCGTTGCTGAGACAAAATACCTGAAGCCCAAAGCTGGGAAAGAAAAAGTTCATATCTTACAGTTTTTGGAGATTTCAGTCCATACTCAGTTGGCCCCAAGGCAGGCTGGTATGGCTAGGCCGCAGTTCATGGCGGCTGCAAACAGCAAGGCAGAAACCAGCAAAAGAGCAAGACACACCTTCTTCCTGCCATTACATCACATCCTGGCTCCACCCCTATGTGGGTGGAGCACTGACACCATCAATCCAAGCATTAGACAACGAACCATCACAAATGCACAATGCAAACTCATGAGGCCTGGGGGCCACAGACATAAACCATGACACCTAGCATGCACAAGACCCTGGGTTCAATCCTCAGCGTGAGAAGACAAAAAAAAGAAAAAAAAAACTAAGATCCCTGAAAAAGTACTAAGTAAAAAGAAGCCATCCCTGATTCTCAACATCCCTCCCCTAATTCCCAGTCTAAGAGAAGTAAACACATCTTGAGTACAAGCAGCCTTCTCCCATCTCTGACCTGAAAGGCAGAAATGGCACTGACCACTCTAATCACACAGGTGTGTGCACGCCACTGATTTCCCCATTCCTTCCACAAACTCGGTGACATCCTTCACTAGTCTGTGCACATCTAAAGGATCCCAACCTGCTCCCCTTTTCAAGGCAGAGTGCCTGTTCACTCACCCACACCTCAGGCAACCTCTAGCTGCTGAGTCCTCCTGAGAAGGAGCAGGAGTAACATCAATTAATTCATGGCAGGAGAGATACAGGGGAGTCGCTTGGAGACTGGATGTATTTTTGGCTCTCCAAAGAGGTTTGCTTTACTGCACAGTAGTTTTGCTTTAACTATCTACTGAACAAGTCGAGATTGGTGCTAATGTTTAATTAAAACAAATGCAAAATAAACTACTGTTGTGTCCTCGGATTTTACTCAGAGCAGTTCTGCAGATACCAGTAATGAGACATGGCAGGTCAGTAATTAAAATGTAGACTTTGCTTTCATGCCATTACAGGGTAAGAATGGGCATGACTTGCTACAGTACTTCAGTATCAGGGTAATTACTTGATACTTCTCTGCAAGGTTATATTAAAACATTCCTAACAACCGCAGATGCCAGGACAAAAGACACCTTTTAATAAAGCTTTGTCGCATCGTCATCTATTTATACTCTGCCTTGAGTCAGAAAGGATTTGAGGTAGCCAACAACAATAAGAATAGAAATAGCTGCCATTTGCGAGTAACTATTATATGTCAGACAGTGCCCATCAAGGATTTTTACATTGCCTGTAATTTTATAGAAATCCCTCCAAGAGAGGTATCATTAGAGAGGCAACAGATGCAGTGGTTGAGAACTCAGGCACGATAGCCAGAGGGCTTGGCTTCAATCCTGACCTTGTTCCTTAGTAGCTATGAGACACTGCAAGTTACCCAACCTTTCTTTTGTCATCTGTATAATGGAGATATTCATCACTACTTTTAAGATTGTGATTAAGTGGTGTTAAAGCTTAGATCTGAGATGGTCCCCTGAGGACTGGTGTTGAAGGCTTGGTCCCCAGCTGGGGAGCTATCAGGAGGTGGGGGACACTTTATGAGGCAGGACCTAGATGGAAAAGGTAGGTTACTTGAGGTGTTATATCTGAAGGGTATATTTTGTCCCTGGACTTCTGTGTCTGTCTCTCTGTCTGTCTATCTATCTATCTATCTATCTATCTATCTCTATCTCTATCTCTTTGCTTTCTGGCCACTGTGAGCTCAGCATTCCTGCCACTAGAGAAATGGAGGCAGGCAACCATGGACTGAAACCTCTGCAGTCATTAGCCAAAATAAATCTTTCCTCCCTCGGGTGATTTTTTTTCAGGTATTCTGTGACTGCGGTGGAAAGCTGACAAGTGTAAATAAGATCTGCTAGATAAGGACAGTGCTACCACATAGGAAGCTCTCAGTGTCTTAAGGTGGCAGAGATATGGTGGGGTAATTTCTTAGCACACGCATATTCCTAAACGTCTCATCTCTTTGCAGTTAAGCAAATCCACGTGACTAGTTTGAGTCAATGAAATACTAGTAAAGCTGACACACGTCATTGCCGGACACAACATTAAGAGCCAGTACATGGCCTCTTTAGCCCTCACCTCCCAGCCTCAGTGACATGTTAAGATGAGGGTAACGTTAGATGCAAGACATCTGAATCCCAGGGTCAGCTGGAGGAGGATCCAGATGATGCCCATAAACAGTAAAATAAAGTAAAGTCAATTTTCACTGTGCTAAACAATTGTTATTCCCTGACTTGTTACTATGGTGTATCTTACCCTGATTAGCGTAGCTAGAGGACATCATTCTTATTACCTTCTGTTTACACCTAAAGAAACAAGAGGTCAACTAGCCAAAGGGAAAACTTCCATAGAAATCGAGCTATCTACTTTACTCTAAATGTGGCATCATCACATTAATTCTTGCCTTTCTTGAATCCCTGCAAACTCTTGGGCACTATGGGAATAAAAAACTCAGCCTCAGTGAAGCGCTGATAAAAATAACAGAGATGGTGACTGTGGGAAATATGTATGTTTTCCTCCTCGGAATCTGGACTGCGGCCACCTTGAAAACCACATCAGAAACTAGGAGGGAGAGAAGCTTAGAACTCTTTTATTCTTTTAAGGGGATTATCCCTGAATCCTCAGTTTGAAAGTTATCACAGATTGGGCTGGGTGTTCTAGAGACACCGAGTAAGTAGCACAGAAACAGAAAACAGGTGGGGGTTTTTAAAAGTAGGGCTCCAATAATCCTTCACAGGGGGCACAAAGGGTACCAGGCACCCCAGTCAGGCAGAAAATGCAAGCTCAGTCCGGTTCACCTCTGCTGGCTACCAGCATTCCACCAACCTTCCCTGTCTCTAGTCTAACGTGCAATAATAGCCCAGGGGCTTCTCGCCTTTCTGGTCCTTGGCAGGAACATTGCTATACATGGACCAAGAATCTTCTTTAGAACGTCTTCCATTGCTTTGCAAATAGCCTGCTGGGGTGCTCTCCTACCTGTTTCCTCTTTGTGGATGAATGGATGATCCACTATTCCCAAACTCCCTGCCCATCCTAAATGTATGCACTTTGATGGAGGAAGAAGGATGCCCCACACTCCCCACGCTGACCCAGTTTCCCATCACAGAGACAAAGTGCAGGGTGCATCCATGCACCACCCCCTTTTTCTACCCATAAAATCATTATGATTCCTGCTGTCTGCCACCCAGGGAAGGCATGAAAGCGAGCTCAGGTGCTATAAAGTGCCTCAGAAACCTCCCACGATGTGTTATATAAGTGCTAAACATCAATATCCAACAGCTGCCACTCAAAACCAACTTCTAATTTAAAGGTTTTACCACTATCATCATTCTGAATCTACAAGGTTTTTGTCCTTGCTTTTGTTAAATAACACTTCTATGTAAATCATGTGTACATGAAAACTTAGAAAATATAGAAAAATATAGGGAATAAAATAACCATTGCTTACAGTTCCACATCCAAGTGACAAGTTTAACCAATAATCAGCTTAGCAATTTCCCTTCCATCGTTTCATCTGTATATCTTTTTTGATTTAAGTCAAGATCAAGCTCAATGCACGATTTTTTGTCCTATTTTAACATTTTCCCGCCTCTTCCTCTAAAAACTGCTCACAAATACAATTTCAGTGACTGTGTAAAACTCTCATCTTATGATTGTACTCACCCGTGTCATTTTGCTGGACATACCAGGTGTTTCCAGAGTTTTCCTGTAATACTGACATAATTTTCTTTAGCTATTTGGTGTTTCTAATTATTTCCTTAGAATGTACGTCAAGTGCTCCTAGGTTGTACTGAAGCAAATACTCAAATTCAGTGAACGCTCAACCCTGGAAAAAAGGTAGAGAGAAACTAGTCATTGTAGTCAATGTTACTAATGGCCTAACTCTAGTAGCAGAGCTCAGCTCAGCCAGGGAGGGCCTATGAATAGAAAAGTGACAGTTTCCAGTATAAAGACACAAAGAAAGAGAAGGCTCTTAAGGTTGCTCTTAAACTAAGGATAAGATACTATGTTATCTACCACTACTTAACCACAGCTACTTAATCAAGGCCAGACATTAGTTTAAAAGGTATCATATTGCTATTCAAGAGAAGGAATCTGGCCACCCACACTTTCCTTGTAATTCAAAAGGCTCTCTAAAGAGCACATACAGCCTACAGACTGGAGCTGACAGACACAAAGAGCTTTGAAAATCTAACCTTTCCGTGTCCTCCATCCTCCATCTGCAAGCAGAGCCCCGGGAAGCTCAGCTCTTGCCCAAACAGTTGCCAAGGATACCCCGAGTAGCTACAGAATCCAGACTCAATTAGTCCGGAGGCCCCGTTGGTTAAACATTTTTTTTCTTTTTATTTTGACAGATTAATACATGTTTTTTAAAACACAAAACAAGCAAAATACAGACAGCAACCCAGGCTTCTTTCATTGGATGTGTTCAGCTACAAGGAACTACTTATCACCCAAGAATCTATCTTTCAAAGAGGCATCTCATCAATAAGCATCACAATAGAGATATCGACAATGATGATGATTAGAGCAGCAAACCATTAATTATACCAGACACTCACTTCTGTGAAAATAGTTGATAGATGGATCAATCATGCTGTCATAGTCCCCTTTTTCATTGCTGAGATAAAACACCCAACATCCAAAATTAAGAGGAGAGGTTTATTTAGCTCACAGTTTATAGATGTTTCAGTCTGTAATCAGCTGGCTTCAAGGTAGGGTAGCAGGGCAGAAGGACATCACAAAGGAGAAACAGTTCATGGCAGACAGAAGTTAGCAAAACAAGCAAAAGACGACCACAGCTCTTTCTAGCCCTTATATCTTATCCGGGGTACTTAGGGTGGTAGCACTCACACCCTGAAACAAGATGCTCTTGATCCTAACGTTGTACCATGAAACAGCTCCAGTATCACACATTCTAGATCCAGTCACCTACAAAAAAGCCCTACCTGTGACTGCATGAGGCTTTGGTGGGACATACAGACACAAACCATAACACATACCAGTAGGATGTGCCACCAAGATTTAAACAAATGAAACTATAACTATCCCATCTTAAAAAAATGGTTTACAAACACCAATGTGTATTGGGTGATTGCATGGGCCTAGGGCTCTGCCACCCAGGCTTTCAACAGTCTTCAAAACTTTCCTTCAAGGAAGACATCAACAGCCCCATTTTATAGAGCACAAAACTGAGGATCCAAGAGGTTAAAAGACGTATTACACATTGAGCTGGGGTTCAAACATAGGATCAAATCCTGAGTTCTTGCTCTGCCACAGCTTTCTTTATTGCCTCCACAAAATCAGTAAGCTGATGACTCTTGTCCCAGAGCTGGAATGTGGTATAGTTTGAGAGGAGAAAATATTAAGAGAAACCAATAACCAGTGTAAGAAAATGGTCAGCGGAAGGCGAAGCAGATTCTCAGTCCTTCCACCTAACCCTTCTCCATCAATGGTTACAGCGCTGGTATAATTAACAGAAAGAGAAATGTTTGCAGCTTTCATCCTGGAGGATGGCTCCGTAGACTCCCTCTCCAGCTAGTCCTCCAAGCAAAGAAGAACCACTACTCTGTCTCCAAGGCACAGAGGCCAAGTTTACCATCTCCCCAAGGAATTTCCTAGTCCTTCACCACACCACAAAGAAACTCCCTAGAGCCTTAATTTTGGAACTACCCTTGGGGCAAATCCTGGAAGAGGAGATTAAAAACAAACAAAGTATTTGCACTAGGAAAATGTGAGAAGTGGCCCTTTTTGAAGGTAAAAATTAAAAGTGACAGAGAATCTATAAAGGAGCCAGAACCATGACAGGTGGTGAGGCCCAGTAGGAGAGTCACATTTGTACTTACAAAAAATGACTCCAAAGAAAGTCTCTCTATGCTGTGGGCCTGGTGGGTGATACCGAGATAGCACCATTTAAACCAGCTGAGAGCCACCTACAGCTTGCAGAGGAACATTCACATATTTATTCAGTGCAGTGAGCTCTGCTTTGGGGCTTTTGAGCACTGAAAACAGCCTCCTAGGAAAACTGCACTGGAAAAGCAGGAGTCAGGATACCAGAAACAGTTCTGCCAACACCGAGCTAGGGTACCCTCACCTTTGTGTCCAAGAGGAGGCTTCATGGACTGAGTTCCCTTCCAAGTTTGAGTCAATGTAATTTAATTCAATTCAGCGAACGTTTATGGGACAAAAAACACTGTGTCAGGCATCAACCTGGCTGTAGGATTTCAAGACCTGGCTTCTGCCCTTCAGAAACTGGAAGTCTAGCAGGGGAGGGGGGTTTGTAAACAGATCACTGAGGAGTGTAAAGAGAACAATATGTGGGGGCTGGGGGTTTAACTCAGCGGCATAAGTGCCTGCCTTGCAAGCAGGCAGTCGTGAGTTCGATCCCTGGTACCGATAAAAACAAAAAAGACCAAAAAAAAAAAAAAAAAGAGAGAACAATATGTGCATTGAAGGGAAGAAGCAGTCCTGGGAGGCAGGATCGATTTGGATCAATTTCATGCAAAGCTTATGAAATCAATGTCTAAACGGAGGATGGGAAAATCATGCAGCACTGACAGAGCAGGGCAGGAGTCAGCAGTGCTGTCACAAATGGCTTCCAGACACTTTCTGACCTAGGGTGCTCCAGAAGCAATTTCTAGGCACAAAAAACCAAGCCTCTGGTTGGTTCATGGGAGCACTGTGGTTGGCAGCTTTAGAACAGAATCTGAGGTCATTCAACTGCAGAAGAGCCCTGACTTAGGTTAGATGGCTTTGTCTAGGGCAGGGCTGTCCCAGTGTCCTTCCAGACTTGGGGAGGTGTGGCCAGGCCTCACACCCAAGGTTCACCTTGCCAAGCATCCTCCGCAGAGGACTACTTTCAAGGCTGCTGTCAGCTAAATGTTGTTGTTGTTTCTAAATGTTTTTTGAAAGAACTGCACTCTGTTCTGAAGTGGTTATCAATTCATGGCAATCTCCTAAAGAAAGCCTTGGGCAGGGAGTGTAGCCCAGTGGTAAAGTGCTCATGTGGTATACGTGAGGGCCTTGGGTGAGATCCCCAGTATGGAAAACGCCCAAAATTTAAAACCCTTACATATGAAAAACATCACACACACATACACACACACACACAGAAGGAGCAGGGAGTCTTTCCCAGGTTTCTCCTCTGGTCTCTGGCAGCAGTTTCTTGATTTGCTTGGGTGATTCCTGACCCATCTGCTTCTAAGACACCACTGAATGCTCTGCTGTGGTTCAAGCCTTCTCATTAGGCTACCTTCTTCCTGGAGGAAGAAGGGTTTATAACTCAGCTGTTTGGCCAGGGTTTTCATCTCTAGCTTCTAGGGGCTCTAGGTCCATCCATCCCACTGCCCTCGGTGACATCACCACTTGCCACCTTAAACTAAATACAACCAGCACTTGCACCCTGCTCCTCCTAACCCCCAGTTCTGCCCCCCCCCCCACTGCTACTGTCAGCAAACACGTTCACCAGAAATCAGTTTCCTAAAGCCACATAGGAACTACTGCTGACTCCTCTTTCCACACTCCCAACATTCCACTGGCTAGAAATTATGGTCTGTTATCTTCTAAAGCTCTCTCAAATCCATGCACCTCACCCCATCCCCAACATCAGCACTGTACTTGGGGCCACTTTCTGACTCTCACTTGGATGACAATGAAAGCCTCTTTAAGACCCTCTGCCTCCCTCCCAAGCCTCTTACAATCTGTTCCCTACGTGGCTGCTGGGATACTTTGAAATTCACAGATCTAATCATAAGAATACCCTCCTTAAAGTCATTTAACTTCCAGTCTAAAACCCTTGAATGACTAAAAGGCTATGGATGGCTGGGCACCTCTCCCGACTCAGTTCTTCCCTCCTCCCTGCTCCAGCACTGGGGACTTTTCTCAGTTCCTGGAACAATCCAGCTCCTTCCTCCCACCCACGTCCTGTCCCCTGTCCCGTGTGGAAGGCCAGCACCGGCCCCTTCCCCAGTCACCTCTTATTTGACCTTCCTTCTCAGCTGCTACTTCATTCCCTGAGAAGTCTGCAGTGTCAGTGCAGGACGTGCCTGCAGTGTCCAAGATTTATCTTCTGCAGCATTGTGCACTCTTTCGTTTATTTACAACATTTGTTTATGGCCTGTCTTCCAAAGAATCATGTTTTCTTCACTGCCCTGTATAACCCACGCTCGGCACAGGGCCCAACACACAATAGGTACTTGGTGTGTATTTTTAAAGAGTTTTGTTAAACTACTCATATACACACGTTTGCAGCCCTCAGACCCCAGGTTCCCTCCACTCCCATCCCCCTCTATCTCATGGTTCGGTTCCTGTCATCAGGTCGCTTCCTTCTGTTCTAATTTGCAGGCAGGATTAATTTCACCATAACCCTTGCATACTGTATGAAATGACTGAAATCTAGAAATTGACCTCGTGTGGCATTGTGCAATGTCTACCGTGGAAGAATAGGCCCACTGTTGTAATTTCTGTTTTTAAAAAAATTAAAATCCAGAGACCTGTGTCTAGAGTTCAAAATGCAGATTAGCACAGAAAGGGAAAAACATCACTCTGGTTTCGACAATCATTGTTACTTTTACAGATAGCTAGATAAACATGCCTTAGGGGACATGTGCTGGTTAAATAATAAAACTTGGGGATTTATAGCTATTGCCTCTGAAGCTTAGTGCTCAGGAGTGGGAATCAGGGGGCAGCACAGTCCCTTCACAAGGGGAAGATGTAAAAAAATCAGGCACAGAAGAAAGAGAAACCTTGCTGCCAAGGTCCTAAGGTATCCCTGTACTGCAGTGCAGTTTCTTGCTGGTGCAGGCAACGTGACCAAGAGCCAAGCGTGAATGACACAGCCTGATTCCTTCAGCAAAGCCTATTTCAAAGTAATTAAAAAGAAAATGTCATCTTCTGCCCAAGCTCAAACAAAAGGCCACCGATGCTTTTTCCTTCTTTCAATTGATCTAGGCTGTCAACTACTTCATTAGCAACCTGATTAGGTTCTAATTAGCACCCTAATTAAGTGATTGAAATTAGAAGCTAAGAAGGGTGTGAACTAAGAACCAAAGGGAAGGGAAGGGAAGGGAAGGTAGACAGATCCACTTGCAAGACATCGAAGCAGGTTTATTAACAGGAGACAGGATTCAAACTTTATACTTGAAAGTGAATTTTCACAGAGCGAGAATCCTGTGAACATTCTCTTTCTGAAGCAAATGGTTTTCCTGCTTACTTAGGAAGTCTGGGCAGTAATACGCAAAGAACTATGTGCTTAAGAACAACCCAGAAATGTAACTGGAAAATGTCTCGCAGGCAGGAAAGAAGCGAGATGGTACAATGGATGCTTTGGGTTCCATGCATCCTCCTATGTCTTCTAGAATGATTTTCTTTGACCTTATGAGACCCTTGGACTCCAAGCAACTAAGAAGAATCCTGGAAAGTTCTCCCAAATTTAAAATCCATGGGAAAACCAATTATCACTCCTTGCAAGTTACTGTGAGGGTGAAGAAAGACCTTACCCCATACTCCCCTTTAAAAATGCTTCATTTCTGAGATGTTTATTTTGAGGTGCTTGTGGTGGTGGTTTTTCAGTTACGTATTATTTTCAACCACCAACATAAAATGTGGTGATCACGCTCAGTTGAACCGACAGTAGGATGGCAGCCCGGTCAGAGACACACAAAAGTCCAATGTGAAGCCCTGGAAATTTTAGTCTTCAAAACCTTCTTCAAAACCACAAGTACCAAATTTCAGCTGTTAGGATTTTTTTTTTTTTAAAGCACAGAGAAAAAGAAAACATCTTTTCTTTCCTAAACTCTCTCCTTCAAAATAATTTCTCTATTTTCCTGTGTTTGCAGCAGTTGAAAAAGGTTATCAAATAAGAAATCATGGGGAATGGCAGGAGGACTAGAGAATGGGGATACGCATTCCACATAAAACTTTCATTGTATTGTGTTATAAACAGATCAAGATTATTAGTGCGGCACATCTTGTCTCATTATGGCCTTGTGGCACTGTCTCTACATAGCACAAGGGTGACAATGTGAAGACATTGAAATTGATTCTAGATCACCTTAAAGTTATGGTATTAGAGTGCCCTCCTCCTCATCCAGAGCTAGCTTTTCCAGTGGGATGAGGTTAAAATAACAGGTCTTGGTGTCAGCCACCCTAAGTATGAAGGTTTTGTTTGTTTCCTTATCAGTAAAATGGGAGAACTTTCCCCTTACAGAGCTTATGTGACTCTTAAAACATTTGCCAAGGGCTGAGCATTCCACAGTGACTAATGCATGTTTATTCTCTCTTCCTCCTCTTCTCACCATTTTCTATAGTATCATCTCCTTTTTCTAGAATCACATTTCTTTTAACTGTAACCTGTGAATTCTATTTTTTTCACTGATTTTGTTGTGGATCAGCTGAATGCAAAACAGGGCCAGGGTAGAGTTCCTTTTTAAAAAATCTGATACATAATAATGTTACTCAACTCATGGGTACAGTGTGATATTTCTATAAATGTATACAATATTTGATAATTATGTCAGGGTGATTAGCATACCCACCACCTCAAACATTTATCACTGGTTTGTATTAGGAACAATCAAAGTCTTTTCTTCTAGCTATTTTGAATACACAGCAAATGATTGTTAGCTATAGTCACTCTGCTGCGCTATAAAGCACTAGAAATTATTCTTGCCATTTAACACACTTTGTACCCATTAGGATTTCTGACCAGTAGTGTGGACCTTGAGCACCCTACACAGGTCCAAGTGTTGAAAGCTTGGTACCCAGCCTATGGTGCCACTGGGATGCGGTGAAATCCTTAGAGGTGAAGCCTGGGGGCCATGCTCTTAAAAGGGATATTGAGACCCCAGACCATCTCCTCTCACTGAGTCTCTTTGCTTCCCAGCCACCACGAGATGAACAGGCTTCTTCCGCCAAATGTTCCCACAGACTCAAAGAAACAGAGCCAGGCGATCAGACTGAACCCTTTGAAACCAAGCCAAAATAAATCTCTTCTATTATTGATTATTACAAGTATGCCATTAGAGTAACACAAGGAGACTACCACAGTGGTATATAACTTCTACAGTTTTTATGTTTTCCTAGAAGTTTTCTATGTAAGCAATTGAGTTTCAAGGTCTCTTCCAAAAAGCCTAAAAATGAAGCCCTGAGACCCATGGCACTTTTCCATCATCATTCTGCAGAATCCCTTTTCCTTGCCTCTTTCCGTAGAACCTCAAACTGTAGTTTCCCATTTCTCCACCTCCTCTTGCTTTCTCTGCACTATCAGTCTTGACAATAGCACCAATTACCAGGCATGTGCCCTTCATCAAGGGCACAACTTGCGACAAGATTACTAACACAATTCAAAAGCTTTGACAGATTGACTCTTGGAGAAGCCCAACAGGGAACTGCTGTGGGGATTCATGCAAATGACAAGACGGCCCATCCTCCCCAGGAACTGCTTCACTTCACAGACACAGGCGCCCACTGCAGAGCTACTCACACAGCGGGCTCACGGGTCTGCTGGCCACTGCCTAGCAGTAAGGAGATGGGGAAGGGAAGGGAAAACGAAAGTAGAGGCCGCAAGAAAGGGACAGAACCTGAAGCATATCTAAATATAGAAGATGAGGTAGGAAGAGGAGCCAGCAAAGCAAACAGAGGACAAATGCTGAGAAAAGTAGGTGAATTGGGACAGAGTGATTTCAAGGAATCCAAGAAACTGGGAAAATGAAGAAGGGATGTCTATGCTACTTTGATACCCAAAGTTGCTGTCTATCACTATGTGCAAGGCTCTAGTCTAAAGATATGTATGACCTAGGTTATCTCAATTGCCATGGCTCCTATTATAAATAAGGAAGCTGGGGTTCTTGAGATTAATCTGCAAGGTCACACTGCTGTACGCAGCAGAGTGCCATTCTAATCTAGGCCATCTGCCTTTCAGACTATTCTTTGCATTTCTGGTATACAGGATGCAGCCTAATGCCACATAATGCTGGGATGCCAACATATATATGTATGAACCACTTTCCCGTCCCTGGGATAAGATTCCTGACACCTGCAACCTAAAGGAAGAGATGCTTATTTTGGCTCACAGTTTCAGTCCACAGTTGGCTGGCTCCAAAGCAGAGCCAAGGAAAGCTGGCCAATCCATGGCAGGCAGGAAGCAGAGAGAGAAGGGTAGAGCGATGGACAATAGTACACTCTTCCAGGTCACAGCCTCTGGTAACCTGCCTCTAATCAGGGCCCACCTCCTAACAGTACATTCAGCTACCGAACTCACCAATGGTTGAATCCATTGATCCAATCACCTTCCAAACACATGAGACTTTGGGGGGTATTTTAGATCTAAACCATAACAATATATGAAGATCCCACCAAGACCAGGACTCTGAGAAACAAATCCAGAGACAGATTTGTACATAAGAAGTTTTTTGGAGAATGTGC